TAAATGTTCAGATTAAATGGAAGCCCTCGACTCACTCTATCTTTTTAACAAAGAACTTAGGGTAGAAATACACTCTAAGTAGATCAAACCTAAGAGAGAAGGTGTGTAGGGAGAGGGAGAAGACGGTTCTAGGGTTTTAGAATCAAAAGGGAGATGAAAAATGACCCAGAAAGTCGGGTCTCGGATTTATGTAGTCGACTCCCCGCTCGAGCGTCAGACACAGACTCACGCTCGATCGTGAAAAGAGCCGCTCGAGCGTCGATTGCACACTTCCAGAAGTTTTGCAGGCGATGGTACCCGCTCGAGCGCCAAACTCTCCGCTCGAGCGGAGGGACTGCAGAGTAAAGTACTGGGAGATGGAAAAACACGCTCGAGCGTCAAAACTCCCGCTCGAGCGTATAAGCAACAACGAAGAGCCCGCTCGAGCGTTAAAACTTACGCTCGAGCGTGAAGGCCAAAATCTGGGCATCACCTTTTGGTTTCAAAGTGCAACCAACCTGTTTCAAACCTGCCCATCACAACCTAAGACCCTAATACAAAGAGTAAAGGCTAGAAGTGATAATGATACAAAAACAAGTCCACAGAACCAAGTCCAGAATACAGTATACAAAGGTCCAGATATTTTCATTTATGATATAAAATAAATTATTTCCATTACATACTATTTCAGACTAGTCAATATGATTTGAAATTATTTTCACTGTTATGATCCATAGAATAAGAAATGTTCATTTTACTAAGTTCTTTTAAGAAAAAATTGCTTTCTTTGATAAAATAATAAACACAATATTCAAGTGTTGACCTTTCTATTTATTATCTTTTGTTATTTCTATTTGCTTTCTTTTTTTATTTCCACTAAGCCTTTGAGAAGATGTTTTCCCTCAGTTCTACAAGCAATTTCACCACTTCCTCCACATCTGTTTCGATAGTCACTTTGTTGAGGCCCTTTTAGAGGATAATGGTAAGGCCTTTGTACATAGCCCATAGCTCTGTCTCAAGGCTGGTACAGTTTTCTAGTCTGCCATAGAAGCCACAAATCCATGCTCCCTTTTCATCTCTAATCAGTCCTCCAAAGCCTCCAGGTTTGGCAATTCTGTAGCATCCATCAATGTTCATCTTGAGGGTACCTGAAGGAGGAAGCATCCACTTGATTAGCATAAGTGTTGATCTTAGGTTAGTAACAGGCATTCTAAAAGCTTGGTTAATTTCTCTGGAAAAAAACTGATAAATTTGACACTCTCAACAATGCTAAGAGTTTTGTTTTCAAAGATTTTTGACTTTCTACTTTTCCAAATTTGCCAAAGAACAACTGAAAACACAATGTACCAAGGAGTATTGTTACCAATACTGTTTCTTTTTTAAGTTACTTAAAATCGAGTTCCTCCAAGATGAATTTCTCATCTCTAGGTACCAATTTTTAGTTAAAACAACCATCCACACAGCCTTAGCATTAGAGCAGTTTCTAAAAAGATGATCCAAATCTTCCAGCTCATTGCAAAAAGGGCAAGATGGTTTTCAGTAACCCCCTCTTCACCCTCATACAATTAGTTAGAAGCTTTCCATGAAGCACAACCCAAAGGAACCACTTAATCTTTTGGGAAAGTTTGCATTTCCAAATCCACTGCCAATTTTCGCTTTGTTCATCATGTTCCATAAACAAACTATAAGCACTGACAGATATATGCCAAAGTGGTTTCCAAATCATAACTATAAGGCATATACACAAAGTAATGCGAATTAAAGAAAATATACCCCTCCCTGCTCTCTCTGGTATCACCAATATACCCAATATTTACTTCTCTCTATATTGTATGTATGTAAGATAAGCTAGAAAAATGGTGGCCTCAGGAGAAAGTTTGAAAAAGTTGTGATTTATTTTTAGGTACATGCACTACTAATAGATTATAATAAAATGGTCCCCAAATCCCAGACAGCACTGCTGTTTGCAGTTTGCACAGAAAAATGCTACTATCTCAGCAAAATGAAAATTGTTATACATGGACCAAGAACACTGCTTCTCTCCTATATACATGTAGGACTGTTTCTCTCCTATATGCATGTAGGATTCCTCGAATTTTACCTTTGATTGTCTATGTTTCGAAGCAATACTCACAACAATTAGGGGTTTTTTAGCCAATCCAAAACACAGTAAGAACAAGCTTATAGTATTGAGCAATTATGGATGTTGAGAAGTGAACTTCTTTATTCAAGATGGTTCAAGAATTAATATTTGGGAAGTGGGTTGATTTTTTGGATTTTTTTTGGCTATTTTAACCTGGCAAAAAGTTTAGTTTGGGAATGACTTTTTGGTTTTTTAGTTTTTTTTGTGACAGAAGAGTGTAATGATTATGGGTTGAATGTGATGTTTTGTTTTTTATGACTAAACTAGTCTATTTTTTCTTTTGTAGCTAAAATAGTAAAAAAAGTCCCAAATAACTCTTCCCAAACGGAGGGTAAAGAACATTGTGGAAGCCATTGAAAGTCAAAAAGAAGTGTATTTGATCAATTGTGGGCAGAAGTGTTTAACTTGAACTTGAATACTGTGGTTGAATTTCACACTATGAGTTCATATCAAACTACACTGTCTCATTCATAAATAAGAAATTCTAAGAGAGAGATCTGTAATAGATTGTGTTTGTGATGATTTTGAATAATATTTTAGAGTGATATGTGATGTATACCAAATTTGTTAGTATTTTCTCAATGTGGGTCAACTAAAAATTTGATTGGCTGCTGGTTGTTTAGGTCAGCTGCAGGTTGTTTGGGTTTGGTTCCAGTGATTTAAGTTGATGTCAGTGTTTTGAGTGTTTTTTTTTTTCTCTTGTCAGTTGGCTTCTGACAAACTATTCTCTCCAAGGTAATGTTTTATTAGTATTAATATTTTTTTGTCAATCAGAAAAAATATATTTTTTAATTGGTTGTTGTTTGAAATTGTTAGACATACTCGTAAATAGACAACAGTATTTCCCTGCTCAATGGTTTGAAATTATGTGCCTTAGATATGTTTTAATTAACCAATGTATTTTTTATTTGCTATTTTAGTTACTTTAGCATCTTACCTTTCTCAATTCCTCTATGTTTTTACCAGATTTCCTGATGATAGAACATATTCTAGCATGAGCATACAGCAAATAGACAACAGTATTTCCCTGCTCATCAATAAGTTTAGACAAGTAAGAAATGAATGGAATAGTCACAGTAACAATGGTCAAATAGTAATTGACTACCCAAGTGTTTAGTGTTCAATGAGTTAATTTGCTTATTTGTTTATTTTATTTACTTAACTTGTTCACATATTTAATTGCTTAATTATTTAATTTTCTTATTTATCTTAAGATTTTGGTTGCCTTTCATTTATAGGAGACAAAAAAGAATAATGGGGTTCCTGCTAGTCGGTCACGAGTGTGGATGGCCGCATACATGAAAGATGGGATGTCAAATAGTGATTCAGTTAATGAGGTTATGGTATGTGATACTACTTTATCTTTGGACTTTTAATATGATTTATATTTATATTGGAGGCTAATTATTGAATTCAAACTTGCAGACTCAAATGAATGAGTTAGCAGAGCACATGGAGGGATCTTCTACTGACCCTGCAGCATTACAGGAGCAAATCTTCACACAAGTTATGGGCCCAGAGCGACCTGGCCGTGTTCGAACGTTTGGATTGGGACCGCCACCCACTGATGTTTTTGGAGGTGGTTATAGGCGGTCACAAGAGCAGAATCGTCTCTTCCAAACTCAAGTTCAGGAACAAGTTCAAGAGCAACTTCATTGGTATCAAATGCAGTTTGAGTCGAAGATGAATGAAGTAATGGAGAAACAAATTCAGGCTATACGCACAGATTTTCAGTCACGAATTCAGTTTTTGGAATCTCAATTGCAAGCTGCAGGCGTGCTCGTTGATCCAGTTGTTGCACCATCAAACCCATTACATAGGCAGCAGGTTTTTCAATTATTCTTACTAGTTATTACTTTAAATTGCCTAGAGTTAATATACAACTTAAGTCTCTTATTGAATGATAGGTTGTGGATTCACTTAGTAGTCATCCCACTGTTCGACCAATGTCACATCAACAACAATCTCATGCATTTTCATCCCAAGAGGTGAGCAATCATTTAATCAAAGCTTTTTTGATAAATAACATATCTTATTAATTACAATACTTGATCTTATTATATATAGGTTCACCTTTCAAAGAAAGAGAAGAAGAAGAAGAAGAAGAAGAAGAAGAAGAAGAAGAAGAAGAAGAACTAACAAGGTAAACGTACTAATATCACTAGTTCGTGGTTTATGTTCATTTGATTTGTAAGGCAGCAGCATTAGTGAAACAGCTATTAGTAGCAGCTATTAGTAGCAGCAGCATGAGCTGCAGCTGCAAGTAGTCCAATGTGCATGCTATCACTAGATAAAACAGATGATGGCATCACAGTTTGTGGTCGAATAGCGTGGCGAATTCCCAATAGGAGCTGATTTTTTTCATTCCGGTTAATAAAGAATTTAGATATTGTAAACAAATGGCCAATCAGCAATTCACAAACAACAAATTGAAAATGATGAATACAGAACAAAATACCAGATAAAAAGAACAGAATCTCCAGCCACAAGTCTCTTGGCACTAACAAAGATTTCCTTTGGAAAACTTTAAAAATTCTTTTTGTGAGGGTTCCGTTGAATAACTTACGTTGAATTTTACTTTTGGATAAACAGTGCATTATAATAAATGTGGTTGTCGCTACATATTAAATTCCGACAGCATATTGACAGGTGCTTGACGTGGAACAAGTTGTGATTGGTAGTTGTTTTAGTTTTCCATACAATCAATAAATCATGCATTGCATGATGTTTTATCCGTTGTGCTATTGTTCTGTTATGCGCTTTTCATTACTTCATATTAATGAATGCCCCACTGGCTTATCCAATGAGTAACTGTATCTTACTTTGTAATGGGTTAATTATTCTTCATCACCCATTGTCTTTTAATGTTTATGGGGCCAAATTTGAAGGTTGACTTTTCCGTTTCCAGCCTCCATGAGGTTGAGATTCTTGTGACATAAGTTAACTGAATCTCTTTTGTGCTATTAATAAAATGATATGGAACAATGGATGTCTTGATAGTTTTTTTCCCCCTCTGGAAAATTGAAATGAGCATGTGGAGTTATTTCGGGAGTAATCTCTATGGAGTTACTATTTGTACCCCAATGCTTCAGCTTGTTGATGTCTTACCAGTTGTTAGTCATGTTTCTAGTTTGTATTCTTATTTTTTTTTTTTAAATTCTTTGTATTGTTTTTTCTTTTTCCTGCAGTGCCATTTTCCAACCCAGAGGCTGGTATAGATGCCAGTTGTGAAACTAAGGCCCAGTGGCACCCCAGATGCTATGAAATCAGAGGGGAATGATTCACTTGACACTTTTATCAAACAGGCAATAGGGAAAGCGCCTCCCCTTTCTTTCTCAAGGACAGGAGACAACCCAGTATGTTTCATAGAGTAGGAATCACTCCCAATATGTTTCATAGAGTAGGAATCACTCCCAATATGTTTCCTTCTGGCAAAAGCTACATGGACAATGTTAAAACATGATTTTTGGATTTGAATATGTTATTTTGTGGGTAATGGTGATTGGATATTAATTGAATGAAAAACTGAATTAATGCTTTATTTGTTATTTGAATGGGAGTTAATATTTTGTATGTTAGTTTTATTACAGGTATTTTTTTATTAATTGAATGAGAAACCAAATTCAATATTTTCTTACAGGTATTCTTTTTAATTTAATCAAATAAAATTAGCACAATCTCACCAAAAAACAAAAAAAAAAGAAAAAAAAAAGATATGACGGCGTTTCTACAAACGCCTCCTAAACCCTCAATAGTAACGGTCATTTTTTACACAGATACAACGGCATTTCAAAAACGTCGCTAAATATCATTGGTGACGTCAGCGTGGGTATAGTGGGACATTTTGCGGTGTTTTTTAAAACGCCTCCTATACTCATATCACGACGTTTTTAAAACGTCGCAAAGCTACAGCGACAGCCGCAGCTTCGACGTTTGGTACTAAACGCCACAAAATGAATTAACGGCGTTTTTGATAGATATAGCAACGTTTTTAAAATGCCACTAAAAGCCCGATTTCCAGCAGTGACTGCTCTGTTTCACCCTCAGTCAGCGCCCTCTATTTCTGCCAAAATGCCCTATTTACCAAATATTGGAGCCTAGCCGGCCTCCAATGAGGCCCGACCGGGTCCAAACAAGGTCGGCCATGCCCTATGTTCATGCAGAAAAATGTTTTTGTTCTTTGAGGTGAAAACAATGCAGACAGAGCATTTTTAAGCCCTGTTTGTCCCTTCTGTTCTTCTCTATCGTAGGGAAACTTAAGAGAAGAACGAATTTGATACTAAAGCCATCAATGGTAGTAACTTGATTGCTTGATGATTTCAAGCATGTTTGCACAAAAAGTTCATAAATACAATGAAAGATAACCAACCCTCCCTCCTATAATGAAGTTGCTCAAAGAGGGAGGTAGACACGCCTCAAAATTCGTCAAAATATCATGAATTAATATAGGACGTCTCTTGACGCAATGGACTCAACATAACGGCCAGCCAAATCCAACCAATTTTATTCAACTTCTTTATGTCGGTTTCATTGATTTTAAACCAATTTTATTAGTCCGTTTTTTCTTACCTTTCCATTCTTAATCATTTTGTCCCAAAATGATGTTTAAGTCCACTAAATGAAGAGGAATGTCAAACGAGAAGTGATCCTTAGCATGAAAGAGAGACTATGC